TATATATATATATATAGGTATATATTTGCTTCTTCATTTATTTAATAAATACAGAAACCCGCCTTAATGTGCACAGCCATGTAAAGCATAGGCGTGCTACGCATGCATATACATAGAGTTCACTCATTTTCTACATCTCGTTTTAAATGCTGTGATTTTGAGGCTAAATGCTTCGGAACAACATGCAAAAAAAGCTTGAGTTCGCAGCTAGCGACCATCAAAACCAAGCATGGACTTGATTGCTAGCTTATGTATTTGCGGTTGACCGGCCAGGCGATGTAATCTGCTGATGGCTGATGACTAATGCATAGCTTTGCCTTCGTTATTGAGTACATGTCAAAGCATTCAAAATATGTCAAGAACATGGTCACTAGTATAATAAGTGTCACGCACTCAATAGCCGATGGAAATGACACATACGACGTCGGCGGCATTTAAAATTACGCTCGGCAATCACGCGTAAAAATTCATCGGTACATATTCGACTGCTGCTTTAAGGCGAAGGCGCCAAGGCACCAAGGGACGGAACCTGAGCGATTATGGGTGCTGCAGGAGGCCAACAAAGTGGCTTTCGTCAACAAGTACAATGCCCTTAGAGCAAGCAAAAAGAACGCAAGACCCACGTGGTGGGCCCCTGGACGATCGGTAGTGCCCCGGCAAGCTGAAATACAGGGCCGCGGCCATAGCACAGGACTCTTCGAGTAAAGCGGAATTATCCAAGACCGTGAATTAATATATCTGTGCGATCAAGAGTGCACGGGCAGATTAGCAACACGAGCCTCGATAGGAGTGAAAAGTATTTCGCAAATGAGGTCAAAGGGAGAGAGCCCTCGATCAAAGAAGAGAGCCCCTGAGCATCGAGTGTCTCCGTGCCTTACCTTATAAGAGCCCTAGCAACCGTGCAAGGCCCTCAAAGCAAGCGGAAAGAACCCGGGATTTAAAAGAAAGGCCCCTTAGTAACTGAGTGTAACCTGGCATATGGGACCCCAGAAAAGGTGTACAGAGCCTTTCAGGCGAATGGGAAGGATCCGTGAAGGAAAACCTGATCGATCAACAGTGCTCAGGCGTGGAGGCAGACAGAACCTCAACAGCACATTGAGCCATACGAGAAAATGCAAAGAGATCAAGGACAACGTTGAAACCTCCTTAGCGATCGCATTGACCCGGTAAGTGAACATACAGGGCCAGGCAACCAACAGCGTAATGCCTGTAGACGGTGTGATGACCCCCAAACTTTTCCCAAGCAACACTTTCTCAATCAGCGAAGAATGAACTTCGGTTACTTATGAACTCCTCACTTGTGCTAGCAATGGTTCTTGGGGACCCGGTTTTGTGTTAATGGTTTTGTGTTAACGAACATTTAAACGTGACAGCAATGTCCATGCCACCCATTGTTATTTGGGCTGGCTGAGCGTGGGTAGGCTCGCTGTGCACCGAGTGTGTGTACGTAAGCACATGCACATGACAACTAGAAAGCCAGCTCAACTAGCAACACTGTCGCAATCAACCTGCGTCGCGTATGCCATTGACGCAAAAGGCGTTTCGTTTGTCACACATTCGAACTGAACCACGTGAGGGCTGCTTGTCGTTCAGAAGCACAACAGCTTGGAACGGTGTGCCCTGCCTACTGGATGCAGTTGCAGTGCCTACTGGATGAAACGTGCGGCGGAAAAGTGTTCTCAACAAAAGGGCATCTGCCTAACCGTATTTGGGGATAGGTCGAGGACGATTCTCCTCAGTGAGTTGAAAGACTGCGTTATATCTGCTTGCATCTTAGCGAAAATGCATCTGCTTTTTGGTGAAATTTCGAGGTCCCGACAGCGTGGGTGCGAGCAGGTTGGTGATGGCCAAATACAGTATGAATAATTTGCTGTTTTGAATGAGTACAAAAATGCACAATAATTTACCTGAGCATGGAAAATGATAACAAGCTTTCATATTTAAATACATATGGGAATGTGCAACTCACGATCCCCTGCCTCACAAGACGGGCGCACAGGCCTTCAAGGGCATGTGTTCCTTTGCTCAATCCACCCGCTTCCCTTGACACCTTATCTACAACTATCCTCTTCCCGCGCCTGAAGTTATGGGATAGCTTTAGGAGCGTTCACATCTAAACTTACTGCTTTGCGTTCATAGCTGCAGAAGAAGAGCGAATGGAGCTACTTATGACTTTAGCAAGCTCAAGCAGTTGCGTTGTGTAGTATTTCTTTAACACGTGTCCGGGTGGCCGGTTGAGTGCGCTTCGCTCTGGTGGGGGTCAATTTGACCCCTCCCCCGATATCTTGGAAACTAAGATGAGTAGATAAACCAAATGCATAGGGTTGGTTAACCTGCATGCGAACTTACCCTTGTCAAAATTTGAGGTTCTCTTGTCATGACCTTGGGGTTGTCAAATAAGGTCAAACAAGGTCAATCTCCAGCTTGGTATCCGGGGTGCCTCCGACCTCCTCATGCAACCACCATGAACCTCGATATCTGTTCTAAGCAATAGATACGTGATGTCCTCTTACAACCAGTGACCTTGTTTGACATTCATAAGGTCAAGGTAATCAAAAACCCAAAATTTTACTGCTGATTAGGCATTCAAATCGGCGACAGGGATTACGCTGGGTGGTATGTTCCTAAAAATAAAATGCTGACCTTGGTCATTTTAGGTCAGTGACTTACTCTAACCTTTCAAAGTCTTTGGAGCATGCCTTTTGCGGTCCTTCTCATGAATAAATCTGAAATAAGCACCAGAAACTATCCCCTTAGAGAGAGCTACATTAGCCTGACTACAAGCCTCAGCCGACGTGAAACTGTGCGCTTACGGGAGGGGGCGCCGAAGGCGCGCGCGTACACACTACAACATCACACTCACCAGCAATGTGCTATTCATGAACACCACTATACTCTCGCATGCCACAGACCATAGACGCCTCATGACATTTAAAACATTCTACACAAGAGACATGGCACGCATCATCAACATATAAAACTAATTCCTGACGTAACTACGCAATTGCTGGTGTACATGCGACCAGTGAAACAGGGCCCTACCCACCCCTGTCCATACCTACCACACCACTTGATGTGGTCAAGTTTTCATCTGATACGGTGAAAATGTAGAAACTTTCAACCGTCCGGACGTGACCTTGAATTACGTCATGTAGCATCTCAATGCTCCTTGGAAATACCTCGAACATGTCTTTGATAAAAATGCGATGAAAACGGAACTTCGATTACACGTGACTTCTGTGTGCCAGCTGATGAAAAATGGATGAACTTCGGCAATATTCTATATCGATACACAGAAAAAAAACAAACGTACCATACGAATGCTCGAACAGCTACAAAAAAGGTCATAAACGCTGATTTTGCTGTGATGTACATCCAGCAGTGTACACCAGAAAACCTGCATATATATATATATATATATATATATATATATATATATATATATATATATATATATATATATATATAGACTATATTTTGTGGTTAAAGATGCCCTAAACATAAAACGGTAAAATCCCCGAAGTGTTTCACACCTGCAACTTTCGCGACGCCCACGACTCTGCCCCCGCAATCAATTGAAAAGTGGACACCTATGCATGCATCGTATTATGCCGCATGCATACTGAATATCACACAGACGCAGCGAATACTTGTGCACGGCTTATCGCATACACTGCATATCTTGGTTCCGTGGCTTCGGCTGCTCTACTTGCTAAGATCTTATTCCGATTCTTAAATTGCCCCGCAATCGGTGGATTCGTGGTGACGGCACGAAAGCACGTGAGAGTCTGCCTGCACGCACCGACTCGCACTTCGTTCTCTCTTCCATCTGTATGCGTTAGTCCTACTTCAATCCGGCGCCTGCTCGTTGATTCCCGGGCTTGTTTTCGATTCGTGTTCTTCAGCTTTTCCGTGATAGGAAAATATGACTGTGCCCATGCTTGTTGAACCGGGAGGCAAACTAGTAATGATTCTGCAGCATTGCAAGAATAATGCACCAGCGTAAGCAGTTTGCACTCAAATGCGTTGAAAATGCTGCAACTCAGGTATTAAAGTTATGCTGCTTGTGCCCGAAAACGCCGCGAGATCTTGTTGCTGACTACGTAGATGTAAGCGGTCAGAACTGTGATTAGCCGGCCGGCCGGACTGCCGCAGCCCCAAAAGTTCAGGCTACTTGACTTAGATCAGCTCGGTCTGTGGCTGCGCTTGTAACCAAACACCCAAATGTTTACCGAGTCCACGATGCCATTCAATCTATTCTATAAACACAAGCTTGTCAGTATTTCCGTGGTACGTAACTGGACGTCGCTGGATCTCCTGACGTAATGTGATCTGTGACCAGATGACCTAACCCCTGATCTAAGTGATTTGACGGTTGATCAGTTCAGTACTGTGCTGATGTCTAAATCGATGGACACCCTCGCAAAATGCCAACCACACAACATACGCGGCGCTCCATGTTGATTTACCCCCAGCAAATGAAAGTCGTGACCCTGAGTTGCTTCTCCGAAAGACATCCATTTGTGTATGACGGTCAGTCGGAGCAAAGTGCACGCGGACACTGCGGCACAGAAAAACCTGGCGATGGGTTTTGAATCCATAAGATCGTTCTCTTTGTTCCGGAGATCGGGAGGAGAACGCTCGCCCCTGTTCTTCGCAAAAGGATAAAAACAAAGCAAGCAGTGGGAAAGGCAAAAAAGAAAATAGCTGCCCTTCTCTGTCTGTCATACAACTGCCGTGACTTTTCGGTCACGCTCCAATCCATGGGGCAGAGAAACTTAGCCAAACCAACGTAATAGCATTGACACATTTTGCGCTGCGTCCTGCCGGAATGCGTCATAGCGAAGATATAAAGGTAAATAGGCAACGCTAACCGTGTTGAAAATCCAACAAGATATCTGCACACCTACTCCTTTTTCTTCCCATGATCTGTCGTGATATCACGCCTTGAGCGACAACATCACGGCCAATGAGAACACAGCATAGGCGAAACAACTGCCGATATAGTTTGTTTTGTATTGCAACAGCCATTCGTTTGAGGGCATCACACCCCGCAAAGCACGGTACGCAAACACAGAGGTTCGACAGTGTTAATTCTACAATGCAGCAAATCTGCTGTTGGCAGTTAGTCCCCATAACATGATAGGCCAGTCTTACTGCGAAGCACCACCTCTGGTCTCCCGATAAGGAGCGATCCAGGCCGGCAGTACTCTATGGCAGGTTGTCGGCCTTCATGCACAACGGCGTAGGCCGAACACACGCACACGGGTCCGCACTCGGCAGCCAACAATAAACGCAAATAAGTTGGGTAGCCGAGCTGTACCACAAACACCACCACCCATACGCCGACACCATAATGCAGGGTTACACCTGAGCTCGTACGCGCAAATACGTCGATGGCAGCACTCGTTAGCGGGGATCACCATGCATCCAAGAACCTTCCCAACGGCTTGTGAACGCGTTTACGGAGGGTTAGTTGTAAATGGCCCACCACCTAGGAGGTATCTTCGATATCATCTGGTTGGCGTTAGCACACGGTCACAATTTTCCACGGAAGCACGGTCGACAGATTGCGCCGTCGCAAGGTCAACTCGTCAACAGGCGAATACGATGGTTTTAAGAAATAAACACGTGCCGACCACAAGCCAACAGGCTGCGCTATTGCTGTCATCCTTACGCACGAACGGGGACCAGACAGTGTGACCTAAACGGTTCAGCAAGGTGATTGTCCTTGGCGTCCGACAGCGACAGCAGTGCCAATAAGCCATCCACAGACTGACATCGACACCAGCGCAGGGACAAAGCATGCTAGCGGGCACTGCAAGGACCTGAAATCGGGAGCCTCTAACGGGATTGCACGTGTCACTTCGGATTTCATCACATGGCAAACGAGATATACTGTTGGTAAAGGAAACCAGTTCCTATATATTGCACCGTTCGACAACCCTAAGATTCAGGAAGTACCATGAGAAGTTGAGTATTTCACAGATGAGAGCTAGAAAGAAACCTGCAGCATGTGACTTTACAAAATACTGTGCGTCAGAAAGAAACAAAATGATACTGCGAGCACAACCCAATTCTACGCTACCAGCACCCTACAGCACCAGCTCCCGTACTATGTCGAATGGTCAAGCCCTCATGTAGCTCCGAGACCAGATCATCTGCTTCCTTTCACACGGTTGGCGTCCCTCGCACGACCAGACTTTCCCGCTGACGCCGGCCGGCCGTCAGCGGTGGCTACCCGGAGCCCACTGGCCAATCAGTCGTCTTTGATGGCCAGCTCTTGCAGCTGAAATACGGATCAGGTGCATGAACAATGTGTGGCGCTCAACTCTAGCCCAGCTCGTCCAGCATACTTCTACTTTGAGGCTCAGCGTGCGATTCAGTATATCTTCAGCTGGCTTCAGGAAACAAACTGGGCCGCCCTGTATGAAGCTCACCCTGACCCCCAGCGCGCATATATATATATATATATATATATATATATATATATATATATATATGAAAACGCGTAGTCAGGCAAGGAAACAGAGCTACCAATACCACTCTGTAAGCACTGTCGATCTCTCTTGAAAGCTGAATTGTGCTGGGCTTTGGTGGCTTACCTCAGGTGTGGTAGGATAGGGCTAGGAGCGTGGGAGCGGTGGATCAGCGATACTGCAGCGTATACATGCCATCCCTGCTGCGAACCCAGCTGGTCTGACAAGGGATAAAACACAGGTGGCGGTTACGAGACCAACTCGCTGGGATATCTTCATGGAAAATCCGAGCCTTACCACAAATCCACGATAACTAGAAAGCGAGCGACAGGAACAAAACCATGTTTAGCGTAAGAGTCCGCTTATCGTTAGCAGTGACAGGAACACCTCACCAAGTTATCCCCACCCGCCGCTCGACGTCACATCTGACCCACCGTCCCATATCGGAAGGACGCCGCCGCCCGAGGAGCCCCCACCACCCGACACCACGCAGCAGACCCAGCTCCACCACCTGCCGCAGCCTCCTGGCCACGCACCTCCTCCTCGTCGTCGACCTCGTCGTCGGATCCGATCTCAGACGGCGCCGGCGTGGTGGAGCGCGAGATGGTGGGGCTGGGCGGCGCGCTGAGCGGGCGCGGATAGTTCATGTGGCCGCCGCTCTCCTCCGACACGGCCATCTCCGGGTAGACGGCGTGCAGTGCCATCTGCCGCGCCCGCCGGTAGTACTGGCAGCAGCGGGCGTCCCAGTCAGGCGGGCCGCGCCGCCCAGTCCGACATGCAGTCGACATGCGACGAGCGATACGGGGCATAAGGTCACGCGTCCGTCACAACACTTATTTGAAGGTCACGCGTCCGTCACAGCGTTTATTTTTCTACAGCCAAGCGGCCACAAAGCCGCGTGAGCATTACGCGTCCACGTTGTTTGGGGGTTGACTGCACAAATAGCGGCTGCCAAAAATGTAAATTGGGGACGGCATTTCCCTCCCTAACTGAGTTCACTGATACGGTGGGAGCTGTGTCGAGAGGGAGGGACAGGGGGGACACGGTCGCCGCAGTGCGGGACTCACGATGCCGAGGTTACGCCAGTCGAGCAGATCGCTCAGGCGCTCCGTGCGGTTGCGCTGGATGATTCGCTGACGCCGGTTCAGGCGGGTGAAGTCGTACATGTACTTTGACAGCTCGCGGATCGAGTCCTCCAGGCCGATGCTACGCCGGTCCACAATGTAGATGCCGTACGACATCGGATCGGCGATGTGCTCCGACATGAAACAGCCGAAGCCTGGCCGATTGGGAGATGAGAGGGTCTCAGAACATCGCGGAACAGAACGGCATCAGCGCTCAGAAAAGCTACTAACGCGCGGCAGTAATCAAACGCACGTCACAGCCTGATGAACACAAGATATTCGAATTTTTCATTTCATGAAGTATACCGCAACTGTCTTACTTGACGTTACGGAATGGCGAAACATCAGTACGGCAACAAAATCGAAACCCACCACTCTGCACACGGGCGTCAATGATCACCCTGCCAACTGAGCTACGCCTTCCCCTCCCGCCTCCCCCCCCCCCCAACGCACGCACGCACGCACGCACACGCACGCACGCACGCACGCACGCACGCACGCACGCACACGCACACGCACACGCACGCACACATACAGGGTGAGTTGCGCGGGACCTTCCAGCGTGCCCACCTGACAGGTTGGTGGTCATGGAGGGGATGCCCATGACGGTGCATTCGGCCGGCGTGTAGCCCCACGGCTCGTAGTAGGATGGAAACACGCCCATGTGGCAGCCGCGCACAAACTCCTCGTAGTCCATGCCGAGCAGTGGGTTCGTGTGCGACAGGAACTCCGGATGGAACACCACCTGCCGGGCGATTCGACGGTTCGTTTACGACGGGCGCTGACGGAGATCTCTGGGGTCGCTAACAGACTTCGGAAGACAACACACGTGGGTGATGGACAGCTGTTATAAAGCCGGTGCGCTGAGGCGGTCCAGGGTATTTTGCCAAGCAATGTTGGATTCGATCGTAGTCATCGGTAGGCAAGTAACGCAGGACAAATAGTGAGTCGGACACAGATAGTCAAGTGCAAAACATGACAGTGAAGCAATGCCTGAGAGCTGCGATGTGTTATCTCGGAGTGAGTTGGCCTCATGCCGGTTCGAACGACGTTTATCAAGGCAAGTGTAACGAACGCAGCTCTAAGGAGCGACTCAATGCAGTTTAGTTTTCTATTTAATGTTCACAATTTATTTTCCCTCGGACAATCTGCTGTCAGAAGACAGACTCTACACAGCAGGACGTCCCCATGACGCGCTTGTCGCTGACAGCAAATGGACTGCGGGTTGAGCAAGTGTGAACTGGACCGTGAGAGCACAACTTGGGCGGCTCGCTATGACCACGCCACCCCGCCCTCTGGAAGCTAACACCTCAGCGCAACAGCTGACCACAAGTTCATGCAGACTGCTCGGTGTCAGGAAATGCAATGCTTTGAAAGGTGTGCTGCACAAATGATTAGGCATTACCACACAGACAGGTTGATCAGGCATGCTTTTCCTGGGACACTGCAACATCAGCACCATTTCACTTGGCGCCCGTCCCATCCCACTAACACGGAAGGTACTAGTAAAACCATGGATGTCACAGCTGAGACGGAGCGATTGATTTCATTCGCATACTTCAGAAATTATTTATTTCACAGCTCATTATTTTATATGATTAGATAATGATCTTGATAAATGGTCATATTTAGGTGCAATATTGTTCGATACCTGTTGTGTACACCAGCATTTGAACAGAACCACGGTGAAATATCACATCATACATAGATCATGTGAGAACTGTGCGAACTGTGTGAGAGCACTGAGACTGACTATTGATTTATGTTAACCACCTAAAAACCACTAGGACACCAGGAACACCAGGAATTAATCCGCGACTTGCTTCACACCCCAGACTCTCGTGTCTGACTGTCCGTCTACAAAATAGGACGTGCGTTCCCTGGACGAATTAGTACCTTCAGCATGATATGCAAACTTAGGTTCTTTATGCATTAAAGCGACATTCATACGGTAGGTGGTGAGGCGGTAGTATATATTACGGCGATATGCACGCATAGTTCAGCTGGGTGAGCTCTAACATAGCCTAGGCAATTCGTAACACAACAGCGATTTTCTTAAGCTATCGCACGATACAGTAGGTTTTTGCGATGGTCAGAAATTCACGAATTTCATGAAAATGAGCAAACAAACCAGACCGCCTTGGATTTGGCCCCGCCTGCATAACTATGCTCGTTTACTCCATCACTCATCACGCCTCACTCACATCTGCTATCGGATCGCTCATCCCACGCCGCGCAAGACGGCTTACTCGCACAAGGAAGCCTGTAACTAACCTTAACCCTGTCCGACTTGTCGTTGAACAGGTGGCACCTCCGGAGAGAATTGAGCACCGGGTCGTTGCCGTCGCTGACCACGTTGTGCGTCGTGATGGGCGGCAGACTGCTGCGCTGCATCGAGTAGATGCACCGCTTCAGCCGCACGTTGTCCTCTCGCGTCAGGAGCTCCGTGCTCTCCGGCAGCCGGCCGCTGACGTCATCGCACAACAGCCAATCAACGATCAGATCTCCGGCAGCTGGCCGCTGGCGTCGGCACGTAAGAGCCAATCAGAGATAAACTTTCTGGTACATGGCCGCTGCGACAGCACCGAACAGCCGACCCAAAGCCAGCAAAGCCGTGCTCTTCGGCAGCCGACCGCTGACGTCATCATGCAACAGCCAATCAACGATCAGATCTCCGGCAGCCGGCCACTGACGCCAGCGCGGTCAACAAGTCCACAGTCAGTAGCTCCGTGCTCTGCAGCAGTCTGGCGCCGTCATCACCACGAAACAGGCAGACGACAGTGGGCTCCCGGCAGTAGGCCGGGCCGTCACCTCACAGCAGCCAATCACAATCTGCGGTTCAGTGTCGAACGACCGGCTTCTATTAAGGTGCAAACGCCGCAGCTTTTGGACCTGCACTGACACGCTACAGACAAATAAAAGAGAGCAACTCTAAGGCTACGCGTTTTGACCGCCGAATATCAGTTCAAAATAGGTAAACAATAAACAAAAAATGAGTAGATATAAATGCGAATGAAGAGGTGGCCACCCGGAACTCACGTCAGGCAGATCTCAAACATGCGACTGCCGATCTTCTTCTGTATGTCCTCTATGGAGTCCTTGAGGGTCTTTGTGACGGCGTGTCCCCGCAAACTCTCCACGTTGAAGTTGTTCGTCTTGGTTGGGAAAATCATGAAGGCGACCACCGTCACGTCCGAACCAGAACTCTGAGGAGCGACAAAGCAGTTGATGCACTATGTGCGATTACATTGCGATTACATTTCCCGACAGCAAAGTTCGCGTGTACGAGTGCGCCTACCGGTGTTTCTGTACCGTGTGCAGCGCATGATGAAAACTGCTTATGACGTGCTTTGCTACCTGACTGCTGTACTACGTCAACCAATGGAGCCAAATAATACATGTATGCCCAGCACCGACAATTGTGTGGGTCAGCTAATATAATCATCAGTTACAAGCCTATGACAAACGCGTTTAGTCGCACAACTTAAAACACAAACTAACCTCTGCTCATAGGTTCGTATTAGTGTAATCGTTGTATAGTTCAGAGCACGTAATAGGCACGCTGGCCCCTGGTTACAAAGGGAGCATCTTAACATGTTATACATACCCTTGCAAAAGCCTCCGCCATGCGTTCACAATATGACATTTTAGAAACAACCCAACGTACATCCACGGCGCATACCTTCAAATAGTGGTTGAGGCGAGAGAGGGCCTCGATGAAAATATCGGCTCCCTTGTTTCCGAACTCATAGCGACCAGCAATGAAGAAGTACAGTGTCTTGTCTAGATTGAAGTCGTAGTGGCTAAAATCCACAACATGAAATCAATCAAAAGCTAACTGCAATACAAACAAGCGCTAAAGACAAAACAGATGCTGGATATCTGGTTTATACACAAGTGCAGTGAATTAACATATCTCCGTTATGCACTTCACTTCTCACTTCTTCAAGGAAAGAACACCATAAACACACCATAGACACGTGCAAGGGACGCACATGAATCCAGCCACCAGCACTCATGACAGAAAGTTCTAATTGACGCACAATATGTCAATTCAGGCACATCGGTAGCAAAAGTCAGACCCCACACGTTTTCAGGAAGTGCAAACACACCCATAGAAGTGTCCGCGGATGAAGTCATTGATCTTCGCCTTGCTTAAAGCGTGGAGGTTCTGGAACTCGTGAAGAGCTGAGAACTTCTTCACGTTCAGACCGTTAGGCGTCACAATGTCAGGCTTCCTGTCAAAGCAAGACGGATAAGATGCAACGATTATACTAAAATACTCAACGCAACAATTGTATTTGTCAGCTAGAATCAGCAGAGCTCTACGTGCTTATAACGAGTGAAAGCCCACCATACTGCTTCTCACGAAAACAAATGACGTGGATTTTAAGGTGGTTGTACAAAAGACAAGAAATCGCTCAACTTGAGCCTGTCGGCACATTTATGAGTCAACAGCTTCAAACTGAATGCAATACACGAATTATATGCACACACATAAACACGTTTGAAAAATATAAGAAGACATCATATATAAGATAAGATATTCTATCACAAGAAAACGACTGGCATCACTGACAGATCCTGTCAGTCCGCGGTCGATTTGTCGTCCGCGTCCACTGTCGGTTCGCAAAACCTACCCGCCGTCGATTTGCCGTGAAATGACACAGCTACCATTTCACAAAACATCTCGATTGAGGTTTTTCATTGTGTTCTGTTCAGCTACGAACTGTGTACGGTCTGTTTTGCCTTGCAAAATAGCTACAAACGCCCTCTCCTGAGTCCCACCTCTTGAGCAGATGCTCCGCCTCCAGGCCAGTGATCTCGGACACGGTCGTGAACGTGTGCGCCAGGTGCGTGGCCGCCCGCTCCATGCAGTAGCGATGGTAGATTTGTCGCTTTCCAGCCTCTTCGTCAATGTTGAACTGTCATCAGACAAGGAGAGAGACAAGCTTTTTATAATCTAAAAAAAGAACAAATTATGCCAATGGAGCAATAATCCGCATATCGTCGATATATTTCAATATCCCCAGTTCTGGGTGCGTGACTGTACGATTTTGAAGGCTTCCATTTGCTCCCATGATGCTCCCATTAGTTATACAAGATCGCAATGAACATGACAGATAGAAGTAGCTCCCAATCACGGCCACAGGAGAGGCTGCATAATGGGTCAATTACCTCATCCCACCGTAACGCACAAACGCATAGCAAGAGCAGGTCCGAAGCCTCCTCCGCTTACGTAAGGTAGGTTGTTGTAGAAGTCGGTATTGCCCGCGCAGAGGAAGCGCCCCAGCAGGGTCGCATGCGTGGTGAAGACGGTGGCGACGTCGATCTTCCTCAGCCGGGCCAGGATGAGACCGACGCCCGCCAGCCACTCGTGGAAGTGGGCCACCACGCGCGGCGAGGCCTCGCTGAACTCCGGCAGCCGGTTGCGGAACTGGAGTCACATCACGGCCCTCCTTAAGCACTTCTACTATACAGGAAATAGTGCGCCAAGGCCGAACATGTTGTGGCAGTGACAATCCCCCCCCCCCCCCTCAAGTTGAGTTGAAAAGTCGCGTATGCTTAGACTGTTTACTTCATTCTTTGAGCCACGCAAAAATAAAATAACGTGGCGCCAGCTTCTCACCTGTTCCAAAAACTCGGCAATCATGTAGCCGAACACGACGGCGTCATTGCACTCCACGTCCGAGTTTGGGATGCCAACTCCAGCCAGATTCCAGAGGTCATCCTTCATTTCGTTCATCTTCCACGCTGCTGAGCCGACGTCGAACAAGATAATCTGAGGATTGCCGTCGACTAGCCAGCGGCCGGTGACCACCTGTCGCAGGAAAGTACGACTGAAAACCGGGCAGCAGATTCAACAGAGTACGCATGCACCTGTTCATGATTCTGATTGGGCCGAAATAACTTCAGGCAATCAGATGCAAGAGGTTTAACGACCAAATGCTCAAGCCAGCCCACCGATGGCGGGATGCTGACATGGTGCATAGGATGCACCATTTGTAACTATCAAAGGTCATGAAACTTACAAAAGCGATCAAACGACAAAACCACGCCTTAACAGATTCAAAGATCGAATAGATAATGCATCTATAAACATAATATTACTAATTGCACAAAAACTATTTTGCAGATCATGAAAATACAATAGGTTGCGGATCGCATACTGCACAGATACATAAAGCGGTCTTACAATGCTCGTAACAAAAACATGATCGCAGTGGAACAAAACAAAGTGAGCATTTGTAACACACAAGCCACACAGTTGCGCCGATTCGCACCTTCCATCCCTTTTCCCTGAGAGCTGACACCACGGCATGGAAGATGGTGCCATCAGGGTACTCGAAAGGCTCGATCTCGGTGCGGGCTTGGTGCTCCTTGTAAGGCCCCAGCAGGCAATACTGGTCGCCCCATTCCTCTACCGTTACGTTGCACTTGGAGCGGATGACAGTGTAGATACCGCCGACTGAAACCAGGCCCAGCGATTATTTACGCTACCGCTACGGTTGAGAACTATGTCAGTGGAGAGGTCTCCTATGCAGCGATGTGAACTCTGCCAGCCGGTTGCGAAACTGGAGTCAAATCACGTTTGAGGCCTGGTATCAGCACAGCCTAGCTGTGGCTGGGCTGCCAGCGCAGACACATAAACACATGTGAGAACGCGTGCGATCACACATACACATTTAACACACGTTTAGGATAAGCATAAGCATGCATGTACAACACCATCTCGCGCCCCACCAGACCGATATGGAGTGACTGTAGCGGGCAGGGGGTTGTGCGGGGGGCCATGCCGGCGCCCAATCGAGTTCATTCATTTGTAAACAATGACGTTTATAAATATTTGACCTACAAGAGACCCGATAGTCCCATGTCGGACATGTACAACTTCTTGCATCACGTGAATGTTTGTGTCTGCGAGCGCATTTAGGACCCACGTACCAGTACAAGGTGCAAACACCATCAATGTGCAAATCAGTAATTGCCGTGATGAGCTTCAGATCCAGTAGTGAAATAGTTCGGGTGTTTTGTACAGTATAAATGAATGCAGTTAGGGGAAACAAAAGCCATCATACAACGGCGCCACCTCCAACGTATGCGTCGACGGATATTAATGTTTGGTGAAGCCCTAACGTGGCCGCGTTGGACGTCTTGTTCCAAACAAACGGCTTAGCGACTGGGAACAGAGGACGAATCTTCCAACTCGCTTCGGATTTCGCGATAGGTCATGCCAATATCACTGACAAAAAGTGTCCAGCAACACATTTCAGAAGATACACCTGCTAAAATACATTTATAAAAGACGACAGCATGCCTTATCCGTGACATCCAGCAAACAAGAAGACATATACCATTTCACACGGTTCCAGGACTTTAAGATACCAAATGGACGGAAAAGTCTGCGATATTTCAGTCTTGCACTTCCCTCCACCACATAAGACACAATATTTCCTAGAGCGACTTGATTAACATACCAAAGCAAAACCATCCCATTATTTTGTAAAATTATCCCACTTCGGAGGCACAGAAAATGCCCACCAAACAGTTACAACTACGAAAGGCATCGGAAAGGGAGAGGGTCAGGAATGACATTCACACCATGCGGGTGCAGCAAACGGCTCGACGCGTCGCAGCCGCTCGCGCCGGGCCACGCCAATAGTGGACGTGGCGCGACGACTGCCAGCCGGCCGACCTTGCACCGGCCGCCAGGGACATGTGATCGGCCGATCGGGCCACGTGCCAATCCACATGCTCCCCCCCCCCCCCCCCCCACTCGTCCCCAGACTGCCCTTGACAGGGGGGACGGTCGACCAGAAGCCAGCAAAATAAATCGCCCAAAACCAGTGCATGCCTATATGAATTGGTGGTGCAGAGAGCAGTCACATAAAATGCGCAGGACATGCTTTGACTTGTTTCATGAGCTCTTTTTTCAATGTCTGTTTGCCTTATGACTTGCCGAGAAGGTAGGAGCATACATTAATCCTAGTTGGAAGAGAAGCCACAATGCAGGGCACATCCACGCCCAGGTCGCAAAATGCGCATATACCAGACTAATATGCCTACTGTGGTTAAGTGCATGCATATAGATCACAATCATACATTTGACAAGGCAATTAGTAGTACAAGCTTTTAGCATGCACTACTAATTGCTTTTACTAAAGCTTTTTTTAAAGCTATTTATTAAAAGCTTTTACAAGCTTTTTTACAAGCACAACAATCTCAGGCCTCAGTGAAACATCACAATGAATCTGTGTTTTGCAGCTCATAAGCTCATTATCATGGAGCTGATGCTGACTCTGTTATTGATCAATCAAACCACAACAATGTGATGTGTTTATGCTATGCTGGCTGTGGCTGGCTGGTTTACAGGTCACTGGCTAGGTAGCTGGCACCTGCAGCTAAACAGCTGGCAAATTCCTTCACCAGGGTTCAGTTTCATTAAAGCAAAAGTATGAGCCTTTGCAGTTTGATTTGTGTCATAGAAACTCTTACAGGAAGTAAACACAACACTGTCTCACATGCACATTCTTTTTATCAATGCTTCCAGAATTTAAAGATTGAATAACATCAGCACAGGCTTGCACACCCATCAGACATAGTTAAAAAGTGCTTAGATTTGTAGTTTTTTCTTAAGAAACTAAGACCTGATGGCTAATGACAAGGTTGGACATCAGAAGTTGTATGTTTGAAAATGGAATGGAGCATGTAACCCACAACTTAATTTTTTTTAAAATAAGTTTTAACTTATCACAAAATGCCAAGAAAAGGTCAATCTTCATAGCTTTCAGTGAATTTTGCAAGGTTTTGCTGACCTTTGTAAAATATTTTTTAAGCTCATACCACACAAAAGGTGGAGATTCATTTATTAATCACTACCTGGTCAAGCTTGGAAATGTCTTCTGGAATTCAATGGCATTCATATTGAAGGTTTTACAGTTATGATCAACATGCTGGCTGCATATTTCTGGGATCACTTACTTTCTGAAGTCTGGAGAATGTAACTAAGAATGCACAAATAACTAACAGTTTAAAACCATGGCCTAAGGCATCTCATGTGACTGTGAGATATTGACATATATCTTAGTTTAACCATAAAAACATGCACTTTCAGTTAAGCACATGTATGAACCTGTAATCAAGCCTCAATGTTAAACAGAGGTTTATGCATCCCAAATCTGTAGATTGAGTCCCTGGGCATAAAGTTTTCAATGACCCCTCCCCCATGATTGGCTGCACCCTGCAGCTAGCCCACTGATCCATAGCTTGCTGGAAACCAGCCTAGGTTTGTGAAAGACATGTGGCAGCAGCACTAAACACTAGTGAAAAATTGAAGAATAGCACCATTGGCGTGGTGCTAGCTACCATTTCAGACTTGGTCACAGATAATTGTCCCAATCACAACTGTGTTGGTTATCATCTTTATCTGTGAAGACAGATTATAAGTACACCATGTTTATGCAAACACATATTTGAAGACATCCAAATGCCTGCACACAAACATAGATATCTTGCACTGTGAAACGCTTTGCTTACTCTTAGAACAGAAGTGACAATAGCATCTCAAAGTTCCCCACTTTGCCTGTAGACAGCACTGCCTATATGTGTGTGTGTGTATATATATATATATATATATATATATATATATATATATATATATATATATATACACAGGACAGAGGCATCATGTGACATCTGAATGCACATGCATATAGGATTTGTGTAGTGTTTTGAATGCATAAAATATATGGATTAATATATATCCAATACATTTTTTAACAAAGTAAAAGACCTTGTAGCTTTTCAAACATGAATGCTATGCCAGGATGACTTGTTGTCACCCACAAACCAATTTTGTTTGAGTGGCCTAACTTGTCTTCACATACTTATTGTGTACTGCTTACTTAGACTACTCCTTACACTTACTAGTCATACTTGAATTGCTTACTTTTACCTGTGTAGTATGTTATGACATTTATAATAACTACAGCTTCAGATTTTGCTAAAAAAAGCTTACACCAAATCCCTTGAGCCTGCCCCATGAAACCCAGGGCTTAGGACTCAGGACAGGATGTGAAATCAACACAACACATACAATAATGTAGACAAAATAGCTCGTTTTATTAAGTCTAAAACACTTGACCCTCTTTTATTTATCTTGCACCCATCTTTATGTCAACTTTTCTTCTTCACAGCAATAATTATGCATAGCTTTGCCTAAGCAAAGAACTCAGTGCAATGCCTGATACTTTCATTACAGCAACATTTCAGTTCCAAGGATAAATGTCAATAAAGTGCAATTTGAAATATTTCAGCTGTCTGAGATTTGTTGAAGCTCAAATACAGCTGTTTGAAGTAAGAATTATCTTCTTATTCTGGCAGAAAATAAAATAAGAAAACCCTTTAGGTAGGTACAATACCATTTTAAGCAGGATTCATGGAATGTGCATCTTTGACTGCCCCACAAACCTGTCTGATGGTCTACTGATGGGGTTGCAAAAGTGAGTGTGACAGCAGGAAACCCCTTTAGGAAGGTGCAATACCATTTAAAAGCATGATTAATTGAATGTGCATCTTTGTGTCCACCCACATACCTTGTCTAATGGGGAATACCTATGGGGGTGCAGGGCTGAGTGTGACAACAGGATGACTTCCTGAATATAATGGATGGCACATATAGCTGCAAAATGTTATCATGAATGATGTAAAATCTCATGGTGACAAAAGCACCCTGAGGCTATAACATCCAGCAGTAAAACCACAGCCACAGAAACCAGACCTCCATGTGGAGGCTTGGGCACCTATATACAATTATGAAGCATTTTACCTTGATGTTGTTTCTATTCCCACACAGGTTGCAGCAGTGTTGGGAGGTCCTAGGACACTAAAAATAGCTATTTTCTACCACCATTCACAGAGGGATGCCAATATTGAAGGAAATTCAGGGCATATCTGACCATAGTATGTATTTGATAGCTGGTTGCTCTCCTTCCTTTTATATCAGCTGTCATAATGGAAAACTTTGGCCAGAAAGTGACCATCTTTTCAGCATGAGCCTGGGATGTAAAAATACTCAAGAACTACCTACTTCCAGGGAGCACAAATGTAACTTACCCTTGTTGGCTGCTTCATGGCTGACCTCAAACAACCATTGGTTGGTTTCCGATGCTTCTTTCCCCTTATCCAAAAACAGATCGTGCAAGCTGTCTGCACGATAAAATCTCTTGTTGAATTTCCCTGCCATGAGCTAACTTCGTATGAAATAAAAGATCAACTTTCTGAAATTTTGGGCCAGCGTCACCCGGAGGGCTCACTTAGTCTGTACGGACCGTTGGATTATTATATTGGCGTTGATACTGTTTTGATGCTGCCTAACAGCTCTCAGCCAACATTGCCCAGACAATTACAAAACCAGCTACCCGAAACCCTTCGAAACACCACCACACGGAGCCCAGACACGGTCTTCTCGCCTTTCGTCTGGCTTTCTTGCCGAGGGTGGTCTGCAATCTTGTCACAAATGCGCCAGGGTCACTGACGAGACTCTAGAGGTTGTTTGAATGATATTCATGGCGATGGTGAAATAAAATAGTGACGTAATTAAAATTTATATTAATAAACCATCTCTTGTTGGGCTAACATTTCTTTGTCAACATTAACAACTAGTATAATAAACTATTTTAACATGCTTCTTGGCTTTCTTTAGTCTAGATAATCTGAATATATTTTATGACATAAGATGAGACTGGATCCATGCCCGGACCATTCAAATACAGCAAACTAAATAATGAAACTATACAATACAGCTTCGAGCAAGAACTAAAAGGTTATTGGTCATACATTGTTGTTTGGAGCCATCACCATAGTGTCAACGTGTGCTACCGAGGAAACACCATCTAATTTGGCCAATTTCATACACTTCACTCATTCGATGCGTTCCGCATATCCTAGCGTGTAGTTTCCTGTTCCATTGGAAGGGGCTGCAGCCCACCAAGTTGGAGAAGAAAGTGGGTCGAGTCTGCGGAGAAACCCGTTTTTTTGTGTATATGCAGAGCTGACCACAGCCTTGACTCATTCAATACACTTGACACATTTAACACATTTGATGACCACAACACATTCGATATGTTCGAGCAGCGATGCTCTTTTGCAAAATGGCTGTGGGGTTGAGCGGAAAAAGGACAAAGCATTACCCCAAACATTAAAAGTATTCTTCCCGTAAATGGTAGCCAAGAGGTTGGCGACTTCGGCTCCCGCGCGGGGGCTGGGGTGTGAACTCCGGCTGCGCTGTGGCCCCTTAGCGCTAACATTGGCGTAGGAATAGGGAGGCCAGGGGGACCATAGCCCTCCACTTTTCAAGGTGGGGGGGGGGGGGGGCAGCAGTGTTAACTGCCCTCCCCCTCCCCACTTTTCAGATTAAGGCTGTGTTTGGCGTAATTTTGCACTACATTAAACGTATATGCCGATTTACCTAGTTCATCAGCCATCTTCCTCAACATGCGTCATCTTTTTCGGTTGCTCATTGGCCACCACTTAGTGATACAGCCACAGGGCAGACGTCGCGCGGCCTGCAGAGACTGCAACGCTGGGTATGAAGCCCGTTGTTTCTGTGACTTGCGAGCGCGCATGCCTAAACCATGTTACATAGTTTTATCAATGATCAATTCTGACTGAATCTTGAACGCCTTAAGACAAATTTGGGACTCCCATTTCATCTACAATCTACGTTCAGGGAGTCCTCAATATCTCTGCAGAACACAAAAAAAAACATGGAACCGGAGTCTATGTCACAATTATTGAGCCACCTGCGGCGATGAGGGATGTTGCTGCGTCAGTGAGGGTTCCTGTGCTGATCCAGGGCCAACTGCGCGGGTCAGGAGGCCTCCCGTGTAAGGGAGGCCTTCTGAACAAAATGATATGATATATCCTTCTTCTGGCCTCCGGATCGACCAGGAGATCCTGCTCCCTGTCGCCAGAACGACAGCCAGAAGACACTTTGCGATGGGGCGGAGTGGCCCTTCAGCCCTTGACCGGCAACGGCTATGTACCCCTGGTGTTCTACCCGGGGCCCCTTACTCAGAGGGAAATAAGGGGTCTCGTTATTGTTGAGTAGAGTGACTGGTCTCATTATTGTTCAGTGAAGTGGGTCGAAATGATCTTAAAAAAATACAAGGTCACCCCATGTTTGACTGACAACGTTCATTTTTTTTCAGAATGGATTAGCGAAATAAATAACATCAGAAGGTTTGAGCATGCCCGCCCGCAGCCTCGAGAACAAGGACAGCGATGACCTGGGCTGCAGCTTCCGCAAAACCGAACGGCTTCGGCCATTGCAAGTGTCACCAGGCGGGCGCCGTGTTGACCTGTCTCTTGGACGGATGAATCATTACAGAAACACGAAAAATAGGGATGTTACCCTTACTCTTCCAGTTCAACCACCAGACACCAGCTCCACTTCGCGGTGCTTTAAAGGCCAATCCGTTCTTATGATCAGTCTAAAAATCGCGCACGTGAAATATGAGCCCAGACTGCCTTCTAAATGTAAGATTTGATGTCCTGAAGCGCTCAAAGGTACTTGTTTCATTTTCGTCCACCCATTGGTCACGGCTCAGTACTAGCTGCTGAGCCGACGCTGCCTGGCCCACGGAGACTGCAACGCCTGACATCGGATTTTCGTCACTAAGACTTGCGAGCGCGCATGCTCAAAATTACGTCACATGACTTGTATTACCAATCGATTAATGTGTAAAAAGTTAGTTATTTCAGAAGTGTCATCATTTTCGTCCAACGGTAAGCCAAAGCTAAAAGTTAGCCACTGGGCTAACGCTCCGTGGTCTATGGAGACTGCAACGCCTGGTGTGGAGGTTTTGTTAAGATTTTGAGGGCACGCATCTTAAAAAGCACGTCACATAGATTGCATCACTAATTGATTCTGACTGAATAGTAAACATTTCCAGACAAGCATGGTTTGGCCATGTTAATACACAATGTTGACCACTCCATCAGCAATTAAATTTTTATCTTCAAGTTTTGATTAGACATATCGATCTAATTTACATTCGCGATGTCCTGAATGACTGTAGAACCCAGATAAACAATTTTGACAAAGCTTCTGAATTACATCGGTTTACAAAGTCGTTTCCTTGAATGATGGGCAATGAAATATCAGTTGGGCCGATTCTCAACTAAGGTAGGCGGCTTCTCGGGACGTACTTTTCTGCTGTGGTGTAGTGTGAGGGAAGATAATTCGGAAAAAGGAACCGTAATTTTTTACACACCATTTGGTAGTGATGCTGCTCCAGAAATATGCAATAAAGCAGCCATGCGATCAGCTCACAGTCAGCCATGCGGGAGACAGTCGGGCCAGGGCAGTGGCCACCGACGGCAGGCGGGAGCAGCGTCCAGATAAGGAACATAAGACGGACGGACCTTCATTATGTGGCTTGGTTCTTAAAAGAGAACCTCCAGTTTTATAGTTTTTGTCATACTGTTTCAAGTTTCCCAATTTTTTTCCGCCTAGAATACTACAAGTCTTATATTTTGAAAAGAGGCCAGCGAAATCAAGGCGCATGAAAAATCTGTCACTGCGTGAGCCGTCCATTCACTTTCGAGATTCTCACCAGCCTATGTTCAGGCTGTATTTTGGCATCCATCCTGTGGAGGCAAATGCGTCCTTAATGACCCAAAATGCTTACCCTCTAGTGGAATTTCGCCTCCCTAGAAACGACAATGTTAAAATGGACGAATAATCTTGGGAAGCTGGGTAGCCTTACTTGATAAATGACATAGATGCGTCGAATGGGCAAAATTGTGCACCAGTAAGAAGCGGCTTTATATATAAATCTAGCATAGCAGCCATGACATTCGAATAAAAAGTGGTAGCAAACTCCATATCTACCCCCCCCCCCGTCACCGAGCTTGCTTTTCAGAAAAAGTACACCCTGAGACTGACCCCCTCACTTTTTGAAACGTTCCTATGCGTATGAGCGCTAATATAGTCTCTGCAGTCGCTGGCGCTCCGCAGCCAGCATTCCCAAATGGGCTCCATATGGGCTGAACGTGAGACAACTGGGTTAATGTGGGCATGGGCTACAGGCGGGTTTTTAACCGTCTCCAGCTGGGCCCCACATGGGGCGCCCACATCATTGCATACTTTCGCATCCACCAGAACTGTTCGTGCCTTGTACTGTTCCGTCGGAACTTATCATGTCAAGAAGAAATAACTCACCAGGAGGGAACGCTTGCATTGGTGGGATCCATGCGGGCCACATGTGGGCAAGCTGGGCTGATGTCAACATGGGATGCTGGTGGGCTGGTATGTAGGCTTAATCTGGGTCCCAGATGGGCTGCCCATATGTTGCATGCGCAATTCAGTTGTCACACACACAATATTTATGTGTATACCAAGCATTTTTATTGTCTGGGTTTTACCATATCGCATATAATTATCATAAAACATGGTACTGCTGCCTGGACTGCGGTCCGCTGGGACTGAGCACGGGCTAGCTGGTCTCATGTCCACGTAAGGCGCAGGTGGGCTAGTATGTGGGCTTCATCTGGTTCCCAGATGGGTTGCCCATCCGCTACCATATTTGGTGCAGGTGCATTAAGCTTGTTACCTTATGCTCCCGCCTGGGATCTTCCCTATCATGTACAAATGAGTGCATAACAGAGGAGAACAGCACAGGTTGGGGCCCATATGGGATGTACGTGGGTAAGTTCGACTCATGTCAACATAGGCTGCAGGTAGGCTAGTCTTTGGGCTCCATGTTGGACCCAGATAGGCTGCTCACAGTGTTAAATAAGCAATAAAGTTGCCATGTACACAATTATGTATATATCAAGTGTATTCATTGTTGTGAGGTTTCACCACATCGTGTACAATTATTTTGCATGTGCCACATCCATGCTCACGTACATGCAGGTTGCGGGTAGATTGGTATTAGGCTTCATCTGGGACGCAGATGGGCAGCCCATACGCTACCATATTTGGTACAGGTGCATAGGTCTGCTATCTTGTGCTCCTATGTTGGATTTTTCTTTTTCGTGTACAAATGAGTACATTACAAAGGAGAGTAGCACAAATTGGGGCTCATATGGCATGCATGTGGGCAAGTCGGGCTCATGTCAAGGTGGATTGCAGGTGGGCTGGTGTTCGGGCTTCATGTCGGACCCAGATGGTCTGCCGTATGCTGACATCTTTCACACCAGTACATTAGTTTTCGGACTTCGCTCTTCATGGTTAGATATTTTCTGATCGTGTACAAGCTAGCTTGCAACAAGGGCGAGCGATATCGACCCAGATCCAGACGGGCTGCAGGTGGGCAAGCTGGCCACGTGCCAGCATGGGATGCAAGCGGGCCGGTGCCTGGGCCCCATCTGGGACTCAGATTGCCTGCCCATGTGTTATCATATTGACTAGGTGCGTAATAATTTTCGTACCGTGAGCTTCCTGCTTCGGTTTTATCATGTCACGTACCAATAAGAGGGACCGCTGGCATGGATCTCATC